ACTAACTCATCATCAGCCTTTTCCAATAATAGGGGAGGAATGTATACCTTGTGTACCAAAGCAAAGAGATAGCTCTCTAAAAGAATCTCAAGAACAACGAAATTCTCCAAACAAGAAGCAAGAAGAGTTTAAAAAGTTGGAAGATGGAGAGAATATTGAATATATTTTTCTTAAATCCAGACACATGTGTAGAAACTGGTACAAGGGTGCCATACCCTTCTCTAAGAATAATGGCAACCCCTGAGTATAAACATTGCCAGCTACTTGCTCAGTTTGGTTTTTGTCCTAAGGAAGACTAAAATGGATTACTTAAGTCTTCTAACAATTTGGTGTCTCTCTTCTATCAAATCAATAACTTTTGTTTTATTCAGGCACATTGGAGATGATAGCCCTAAAATGAAATTTTTCTAAGGGATGATAATAACAAAAAATACTTTCAGTAATCTAATGTCATCACATATTCTTCTTGCCACTTTTGATCATTCACAAGTCACGTTAAGAAGAGATAAGCATGGCTCCAAAACATAACATGTCTTAGAGATTTAGGGCCAGCCTTAGGATCAGTAAGACTCACATATGAGAACTATCTGACTCACACTAACTCTATAGCCATAGGTAAGCTACTCAACCTGTTCAAATATATTGCTAATTTGTGTTAGTGGAAGGAGTTTCAACACTGGGAGGTCCCTACACCATTGAAATCGCAGGCTGACTCCTCCCTATATATTTACGAAGTAACTTGATCTATATATACAATAAAAAAATCAGACATGATATATCTCAATTACAGCTTCATGATGATAATAGTTCTATGCTCATGAAACCAACTAGAAATGCTAAAAAAGAAAGTGTATTGGTATACTAACAATAGATCAAGGGTGACATACTAGGGACTTTTTTTCTTCACATAAAGTGATTAAGTCACACAAATTGAAATCAGATCATAAATTCATTCCTAATGCTTATTTTAGAATAGGTCTATCCATAATGCTGATATTAATTCCATAATCCTTAACAATGAATGTTTTCAAAATTATTCTTTTAAATAGGAAATACATGCCTAGTGGTTTTATGATGTTACATTGCAAAAAAATTTAATTTCTTAGGCAGAATCTATAAAGTAGCAAAAAAAAATCTGGCTTGTTCACTCAATTTAATAAAAAATTCAATGTATTTGGTAAAAAAAATCAACCAAATTATATATATTATATATATATATATATATATATAAAATATGTATATAAAATTCAAACATCATATATTTATAATATATGTTTATATTTATACTTTATATATATAAATATAAATATTTACATAAATAATTATGTATACAAATGTTTATGTAAAATATTTGCAATTTATAATATATATTCAGACAGTATATATGTATATACATGCATGTGTGTGTGTATATATATATATTATATATATATATAATATATATATATGTATATATAAATAATTCAGACAAAGCATTGACTGCATTTTTCACTGTTCATCTTAACCTTTTGGCATCAAACTATAGCCTCATAGCCACTAGTCTGTGTCAGGAGAATTAGCTCTACATAGGGACTGCTACTGACTCGAAAGGGGCCATTGCTCAGTAGCAAAGCAAAAATAAAAGCCTTTAAGTCAGCTTGTTTCCCTGTTTGTATTAGCTTAAATGAAGATAGCTTTTTAATTTTTGTATCATTTAAAATAGAGAACCATTTAGAATAATATGGCTTCATGGAGGAAACAATGCCGTTCTGATTGTTTATTTGTTGAAGTTTGGAGAGAAAGTAAACACTTGAAGTGGAAAAAAAACCCAAGCAGTGTTTTTATTGCCTTATAAGCTAGAGAGTTGCATTACTGAAATATAGCCAACAATGGTCTCAAAGTACAGTCCTGTCACTTTACCACACATTATGTAAAGGCTCCTATAACCAATCAAATATAATTGCCTCTTTATTTATCTGCTGACTTGATACTTTTCTAAGTGTTAGTTCTCATATTCCAGGTTCTACAAAAACTCATCTGGTGGCCTCCCACTAGACAAGTTAAATAATTACCTGACTTTAATTGGTTCATAATTTTAGCAGTGGAATTTAGCAATTTGTGAAGAAGAAGTGCAAAACCGGAATTAAGCCAACCATCCTTTGCTAGAGAATACAAATTCTTTCATAGGATCTCAAGAAAAATGAAGAATCATAGGGATTGTTATTAAACCTTTGTGATATGCTTCAAAGACTTGAATTCATGCTGTAATAATCTAAAATGATGACGATAGGGGTGATAATGCTCACAATAACGATGACAACAATGACCATGACAAGAAGAACTCAAGGATCATTGGAAAGGTACGTGGTGGGAGATAGGAGGTTTCACAATATTACAAATAAGAAATGACTAAGAAGAACTAGAATAAAGAATGCCATTTATCAAAGAAATATCTGGTCATAAAAAAAAAGATTGGTCACATGGCAGGAGTGAGGAAATAACAACATACAGCCTATGTGCTTCACTAGTGTTCTTGCAACGTCAAGAGAAAGCAAGGAAGTCTAGAATGTTGTGTGGCCCCTCTATAGCAAACTGATAGAATCTGGACACGAGTCACACAGGATGGGCTAGCATGGATGTGTTTGCCATCTGAATCATTGAAGGGAACATCAACATTATTGATACCATAGATGCATTCAAGCTTTGGAGTAAAATGAATAACTGATATTTCCAAAGCACTCTAAGGTTTGTAAAAGTACCATATACACATACATGTTTATATGAAAATATCATACTCCTACAGAAATAGTCGTTCCCCTTCCTGCAAATATCATTTGCTGATAGTCCTGGAGAGTAAGTAAAGTCAGTTAAATCTTGTCCACAGAGAATGTCTTCAAAAATCTATCCATAGAAGATCACGAGAGAAGAGAGAAACTGATGATTGGCAACAGGCTTTGAACCACTGGGTTAGGATGAATTTGAGGTATGTTATTGACTGAGTAATATAGTTTGTTTCTCTTATTCTTCAAATTTCTGAGGTCACCTGTTCTTGCTATGCTAGATGGCCATCTTTGTAAAATTAAAACACTACATAAACATGGGTTGTCATTCCATATTAAGCAGCCATTCAATCACTAATAGTCACTTTTTTATTTTTAAGAGGGCCCTGTCAATATTTGGAAAAAATACCAATGTCCAAGAGATTTTGATTGTCCTGAGGTAGAAAACAAAGGCTTGTGACACAAATACTAGTTTTTGAACAATTGTCCCTAACATAAACTTTTAAAAGGAAGAAATAATAGTAACCACTCACATTTAGATAATGCTTTAAGAATTGCTATTCACTTCACATACATTATCTTATTTGATGTTCACAGCAACCTAATAAAGTAGACACAATTGTGCCCATTCCACATATGAGGACATTGAGGCTCAGAGGTATTAATTAACATTAATTTCTCAGGTTACGTAACTAGTAAGTATCAGAGGCCAGATTCAAATTCAGCTCTTCCCAACTCTAAATCATGAGTTCTAGACACTATCCTATGCTGGCAGTAATGAGAAAATGGACCCTTAAATTTAAATTATTTTTTCTAAGATTTTCCGGCAGCTATTTTTTAAGCAATGTTTCTGATATTTAAGTTGTGTCTAAAACCAATTTGAAACACTTCAAAGACTGGGTAAGACTCCTTTTCCATGCCTCACCATCTTTTTTTTTTCCTAAGGAAGAAAATTCCCATAGGAAGAAACAATTCTGAACACTAGAATTTTACAGCTATGATCAGAACGGTGAAAAGCGTATTGATCATTGTGAGGGCTCCATTAGCAATGTAAGATTCCCCCCCAAAAAATGACTTGGGATATAATCCAATGCTATCTACTCTGGCCAATTGGTTTTTTAGGGCTTTTTTGTTTTTGCTGGTTTCAGCAGGGGCTTTCCACAAGGTCGCAGAGTCTGTAGGATTAGGCCCATACCCTGACATTTTGGCATGCAATTTTTGTACATGTCTGTGCATCAAAAAGTGGTCATGTCTAAGAGTGCGAATACTAGAATTTGCCCATGCATGGGATAGAAAATTACAACCCCCTATTAACCAAAAAAAAATGCTATTTTAAGGGGGGGAAAAGAAGTCATGTCTCTGCATAGCAAATAAGTGGGTGAAGGGAAGGGGAGAGGAGAGGGAATAAAGATTTATAAAGTGCCTACTCTATGCTAGGCACTGGCTAAGAACTTTTTACAAATATTATCTCATTTGATATAAGTGCATATTTTTTTTAAAAGAGGCTGCTTAAGGAATTGGCATTTATATTCATGTTTAACTCCCAAAAAAAGTGATTATACTTTCAGTCAATGTTAGTCAGTCCAATTATTGAGTAGGGTAGAAAGGGAATTAAAAACCTATCATGTGCCCACTAAACACTTCTAACTTTGGCAATGGGGCGCAGAACCAACTGCTACCTTCTAAGGCTTTGTGAGACATTTGACTTGCGGTATATCTGAATCCATTAAATTATAAGCCATGATTCTAATGTATTTTCAAGGAGGTATTGGAGAAAAACAATACATATGAGGAATTTAAGTTGAAGAAAGCTACTTTGGGAGGGTAATAAAAGGAGACAAGTAGTTTTTGAAAAGGAGTTTAAACTGAAAGCATTTATACTTATATCAGATAACTTCATCACCTGGGGAATTTGCAGGATTTGTCTCAACACTAATGCAATTATGCTCCTTGAAGTATTTTCCTTGAATAAATTTCAATTCCAAATGTCAAGGGGAGAGAGGGAGTGGAAATCCTACAACACTAATTTTCTTTTAAAACGAAATTAAATTAGTTGAGAAAGTTATAACAAGAATATTTTGGTCAAAAATCATCACATAGTCCAAGGATCGAAAAGTTTTTCAACAACAATGTCCAATTAGGGGTCTAATTAGGCTGCATTACCTGAAACTTAATAGAAATCAAGCCTTGGAACAAGCAATCAGAAGAAAAATGCACAGGATTCAAATCAAAATGCTTTACCTGTTACTTGAACTGAAGGGAAGAAACTGAGGACAAGAAGCACCCTGGGGATCATGGTAGCGTTGAGCTGAAAGCCGTGGCCTTCTCTTCCTACAAAGAGCTAGGAGGAAGGCCAGCGAGCCGAGCAAGGCAACCTGGTGAAACCTCACTGGCTCTGTCACATTGTCTGCTTTTGTTTCCTCAGGGTACACAATATAAAAAGGCTCAACCACAGGCAGCTGCAGTAATATCTCAAAGAGGAAGCTGTATTATTTTGATGACTTTAGCCTTTTTTTGTCTTTACTCTTTAAAAAGAACAACAGCCATCACTAGAGGAAGATTCTTACCTGTCCTTAAAGTTATTTCTGGCAAACAATCATGAAAAGGGAGGTGCTAGACATCCAAAAAAAAGCCAAGGGATAGACACAGAAGAGTCTGCTAGAGCAGGTGTTCTTAACATTTCTAGTATCATGGTCCTCCTAAGGATAAGAACCCCTGTACTAGAGGAAGGAGAAAATAGTTGGTAAAAGCAAGGGAACATGACCTAGAAGGGAGAATTAGAGGGTTCTATAGTAGAGAGAATATTCTAAGCAAGGCACTGTGGTCCTGGAATACAAAGACAAAACTAAAAGCCAATATTTACCATCAAGAAACATATTCAACTGGAATCAAAGAATATATATATGTAGGTTGCCCAAGAATGGAGTAACTAAATAAGGTTTATAACAATGAAAAGGGATAAAAACAGACACTATGAGGAGCAGTTAAAGGGCATGGAGTTGGTTAGAAGACAAGGCTAAAGGGCAAACTGATGGGCAGGGTTAGTTTGAATGTGGGCTTGGAGTTTCAAAGTGGGTGTTGCCCCGATGACAATTTTAGTAACGGCGTACATTTCAGAACAAGAGAAGTAGCCGGTAGTGATGTAGCCCTCAACCTTCTAATGGAAGGACTAACTGGAAGGATGCAGACAAGAGAAGCCAAGGAAAAGCGAATTTCTGAGATCCCTAATTGCTACTCCATTGAAGGTGACTAAGCTATTGCAAAGAGATTTGGGCATTTCCCAATTTCTGAACCAAGTCAAGCATACCCAAATAGTAGCATCATCTTCCTTAGAAAGTCTTAAGAAAAAGATAAAAAAAAAAGTTTAGATAAATGGATAAAAGAATAAATAAATGGATAGACAGACAGACAGACAGACAGGTAGATAGATAGATAGATAGATAGATAGATAGATAGATAGATAGATAGATAGATAGATAGATAGACAAAGACAGGACAAAAAGTGCTGAGTGACAAGAAATCTCCCTTTTCCCACTCTGTCAAGAGATTAACAGGTTTATGTGAAAATAGCGACTGCCTAGTCTCCCCTTCCTACATGGATCTATAGGAGAGTTGGGGTGGGCAGAGAGCAGATCAAATTCATAACCTTCCACCCCTGGGTGTTTAGGAGGCTATAATATGGTTTACTTGAGGTCGCAGGTGTTCACAGAAGTGCTGATGGTATATTTCTTTGATATCACAATATTTTCAGTGTTAAATAAATTGTTCTTCTTTGCTACTGAAATAAAGTCTAAGTGATTTGCTAGCAGCAGCCAGATCAAAAATAGATCAGGAATTAGGATTAGAGTTGCTAGTGAATGGGGGTGGGGAGGGAGCAATTGAACCAATGAAAGTATCTAGGATTCTGGGAAAAGCAAGTCCTCAATAGCAACTACATAAATACATAAAGCACTAATGAAGTCACAAATTCCTCAAATTCCAAACCTAGAAGGGCTATCATTCTTCATCTAGAATATGGATCATACAAATGGTCAAAGGATATGAACAGGCAGTTCTCAGATGAAGAAATTAAAGCCATCTGTAGTCAAATGAAAAAATGTTCTAAATCACTATTGATAGAGAAATGCAAATCAGAACAACTCTGAGGTACCACATCATACCTAGCAGGTTGTCTAATATGGCAAAACAGGAAAATGATAAATGTTGGAGAAGATGTGGGAAAATTGGGACATTGATACATGGTTGGTGGAGTTGTGAAATGATCCAACCATTTTGGAGAGCAATTTGGAACTATGCCCAAAGGGCTATAAAAATGTGCATACCCTTTGACCCAGCAATAGCACTTCTAGGGTTCTATCCCAAAGAGATCATACAAATGGGAAAAGAACCCACATGTACAAAAATATTTATAGCAGCTTTTTTTGTGGCAGCAAAGAATTGGAAATTGAGAGGATGCCCATCAACTGGGGAATGGCTGAACAAGTTGTGGTATATGAATGTAATGAAATATTATTGTGCTATAAGAAATGATGAACAGGGTGACTTCAGAAAAACCTGGAAAGAATTGTATTGTCTGATGCTTAGTGCAGTGAGCAGAACCAGGAGAACGTTGTGCATAGTAACAGCTATGTTGTGCAATGACTAATATTTATAGACTTAACCCTTCTTAGAAATGCAAAGATCTAAGACATTTCCAAAGGCCTCATGATGGAAAATGCTATCCACATCCAAAGAAAGAACTATGGAGTTTGAATGCAGATCAAAGCATACTATTTGCTATTTTTTTTCTCTTCTGTTATGTTTTGTTTCCTCTTTCTGGTGGTTCCTCCTATTAGTTCTAATTCTTACTTGAATATGAATCATATATTTAAAGCTAGAGGGGGACCCCTGAGATCATCCAGTCCAGTGGAAATAGTGCTGGTTCTGGACTCAGATGAAATGAGTTCAAATCCCAACTCTGTTACTTACTGCCTGTATAATCTATCACAAGTCATTGACCCTCCTGAACCATAATTTCCTCAAATATAAATGTCCTCTGAAAGCCCTTCCTGTTCTACATCTATGACAGCTTACCCTAATTGCACTTGAGGGAACTTTACTGAGGTTAAGTGATTTATCTGACATTAAGTAAGTGGTGGAATCAGGAGTTGAAACTAGGTTATCACACTCGAAATCAAGTGCCCTTTCCATTGCACCATAGTTCAACTTCCTAATTTTTACAAATGAAGAAACTGAGGCCAAGAGAAATTAAGTGACTTGCCTAAGGTGATATAACTAGTTTGTGTCAGAACCAGGACACACCCAGATATGTTTTGTCCAAATGCAATACTTATGCACCCTTCTGCCTTCTATTTCCGTTACTTTCATTTTCCAATTCTTTTTACCTACCCAAAAATGCACACCAGGAATGATTAGGATCATCTTGCCTTCTACTGCTGCCACCTATCCTCTTTCTCTGTTTCCGTCTTTCATTTCAAATCTTATCATCCTCCAAGATCTAATATAAATTCTCCTTACTCAGGTAACCATGTTTGCTCTCCCTGATTATATGTCGATAATACTAATATGCTGCATTAATAACAATATGTTATTTATGCCAACCATGTATCAATCAATTGCCATTTGGGCTAGCTAGTCAGTCAGTTAGTACGTGTTTATTAGGGCCACCTAAAATTTGATTTCTTTGGATATTGTGGCATTTCGTGACTTGCAGTCCCTATGGTTCTACATTAATAAAACCACAAGCAACCACCCATTTCAAGGAGCTGGCTGACCAAGACCAAATGCAGCTGCCATATTGGACTTGAAGGTGGAGCCTATTGTTTTTTTTTAATTATTTATTTATTTATTTATTTATTTATTTATTTATTTATTTATTTATTTATTTATTTATTTATTTATTTATTTATTTTTAGTTTTCAACATTCACTTCCATAAGATTTTGATCTAAATTTTCTCCTCTTCCCTCCCCAAGACAGCATGCAATCTGATATAGGCTCTACATATGTGTTCATATTAATCATATTTCAACATTAGTCATGTTGTAAAGAAGGATTAGAACCAACGGGAGAAACCACAAGAAAGAAAAAAAAGAGAAAGAGAGGGAGAGAGCAAATAGTATGCTTTGATCTGCATTCAGACTCCATAGTTCTTTTTCTGGATATGTATGCATTTTCCAGCATCAGTCTTTTGGAGTTGTCTTAGATCCTTGCATTTCGGTGAAGAGCCAAGTCTTTCAAAGTCAGTCATCACACAGTGTGGATATTACTGTGTATAATATTCTCCTGGTTTTGCTCACTTCACTCAGCATCAGTTCATGTAAGTCTTTCCAGGTGTTTTTGAAGCCTGCTCATCATTTCTTATAGCACAGTAGTATTCCATTAAATTCACATACTACAACTTGCTCAGCCATTCCCCAACTGATGGGCATCCCCTCAATTTCCAATTCTTTGCCACCACAAAAAGAGCTGCTATAAATATTTTTGTACATGTGGGTCCTTTTCCCATTTGTATGATCTCTTTGGGATACAGACCTAGAAGTACTATTGCTGGGTCAAAGAGTATGCCCAGTTTTATAGCTCTTTGGGCATAATGTGGAGCCTTTTTCTTAAGTAGGAATAGATCCATAGCAGAGGCAGTGTAAATAGTGGAAGAGTACCATGTTCCTATTCAAAGGACTCAGGTTTGGGTCTTAGCTCTTCAGCTTACTAAAGCTGTATGACTTTAGGCAAGTCATTTAACTCAGATTCCTGAACTATAAGATGTAAAGTACGTATTAAGTGAGATATCAGTCCCCCTTCTAGCTCTGTCAGACATCCTATGATTCTAAGAATTAGCAGTCAGTGATTTACAAATGTATCTGATATTCAGCCTCCAACATGATAAACTAGAATCTCATAAATGCCTTTGCAAATTTCTCCCTTCTTCCTTCATGACAGTTCATCTGCATTTCTACACACACAATTAAGAGGAAACTACATCATCCTAGAGGAACAAATCTTGCTTAGTCAAGGATGCTTATGTCTTGTTAGCAAGAAAGATGTTTTCGTGATCAGAAATCTAGAGGTGGCTTCATGAAGATAGGTCGAGCCACCTGATATACTGGAAACATAAAGGAGAAGGTACCTGGGCACCACCCTCTAGGTTCTGACTAAGAACCTCCCATAGAACAATCTGTAAAGATGGTAGTATTCAGTTCCATTCCCAGGAAGAGACTGAAGAGGGATTGGGAGTAATGGCTAACATGCTACTCTATAACAGAAGGTTGTCTCAGCTAGGGAAAAAATTTGGATGAGCTTTCATCCAGCCAATGGTCACTACTTTCTGTTGCCCTGACCAGTCCAGATGCTTACTCCACAGCTTTGAAACTAACTACAAACTCTGTTTAAACATTCCCCTTTCCATCAAATCTGAAA